AGGGTGGTTCTTAAGTTCAGGTTTGCACATTAGGATCACTGGGGGAAGTCTTTACCAAACATTGATCCTCAGTCCTCTCCTCAGAGGTTCTGACTCGGTTGATCTGATAGAAGGTTTTTCTTTTTTTTTTTTCTTTTTTTAAGCAGATTAAAAAAAATTTTTTTTAATTGAAGGATAATTGCTTTACAGAATTTTGCTGTTTTCTATCAAACCTCAACATGAATCAGCCATAGGTATACATATATTTCCTCCTTTTTGAGACTCCCTCCCCTCTCCCTCCCCATCCCACCCCTCTAGGTTGATACAGAGCCCCAGTTTGAGTTTCCTGAGCCATACAGTAAATTTCCGTTGGCTATCTGTTTTACATATGGTAATGTATGTTTCCATGTTACTCTTTCCATACATCTCACCCTCTCCCCCTCTCTCCCCATGTCCATAAGTCTATTCTCTATGTCTGTTTCTCTGTTGCTGCCCTGTAAATAAATTGTTCACTACCATTTTTCTGTATTCCAAATATGTGTGTTAGAATGTGATATTTATCTTTCTCTTTCTGACTCACTTCACTCTGTATGATAGGTTCTAGGTTCATCCACCTCATCAGAACTGACTCAAATGCATTCCTTTTTATGACTAATATTCCATTGTGTATATGTACCACCACTTTTTTTATCCACTCATCTGTTGATGGACATCTAGGTTGCTTTCATGTTCTAGCTATTGTAAATAGTGCTGCAATGAACAGTGAGATACATGTGTCTTTTTCAACCCTGGTTTCCTCAGGGTGTATACCTAGGAGTGGGATTACTGGGTCATATGGTGGTTTTATTCCTAATTTTTTTAAGGAATCTCCATACTGTCTTCCATAGTAGCTGTATCAATTTACATTGTCACCAACAGTGCAAGAGTGTTCCCTTTTCTCCACACCCTCTCCAGTGTTTATTGTTTGTAGACTTTTTGATGATGACCATTCTGACCAGTGTGAGCTGATATCTCATTGTGGTTTTGATTTGTATTTCTCTAACAATGAGCTATGTTGAGCATCTTTTCATGTGTTTGTTAGCCATCTGTATGTCTTCTTTGGAGAAATGTCTGTTTAGGTATTTTCCCCACTTTTTGATAAGGTTATTTGTTTTTCTAGCACTGAGTTGTATGAGCTGCTTGTATATTTTAGAAATTAACCCTTTGTCAGTTGTTTCATTTGCTATTATTTTCTCCCATTATGAGGTTTGTCTTTTCACTTTGCTTATAGTTTCCTTTCCTGTACAGAAGCTTTAAAGTTTAATAAGGCCCCACTTGTTTACTTTTGTTTTTATTTCTGTTACTCTAGGCGGTGGGTCATAGAGGGTCTTGCTTGATTTATGTCATCAAGTGTTCTGCTTATGTTTTCCTCTAAGAGTTTTATAGTCTCTGGTCTTACATTTAGGTCTCTAATCCATTTTGAGTTTATCTTTGTGTGTGGTGTTAGGGAGTGTTCTAACTTCATTCTTTTACATGCAGTTGTCCAGTTTTCCCAGCACCATTTATTGAAGAGGCTGTCTTCACCTCATCGTATATTCTTGCCTGCTTTGTCAAAAATAAGGTACCCATAGGTGCATGGGTTTATTTCTGGGCTTTCTCTCTTATTCCATTGGTCTATATTTCTGTTTTTGTGACAGTACCATACTGTCTTGATGACTGTAGCTTTGTAGTGTAATCTGAAGTCAGGAAGGTTAATTCCTCCAGCTCCATTCTTCTTTCTCAAGACTGCTTTGGCTATTCAGGGTCTTTTGTGTTTCCATATGAACTGTGAAATTTTTTGTTCTAATTCTGTGAGAAATGCCATTGGTAATTTGATAGGGATCGCGTTGAATCTGCAGATTGTAAACAGATGTTTTAATAGCTTCCTATTCACTGTACTAGCAAGGCAGGGATTCTTGAATATTGGACTGTAACTTGAGACCTTCACTGTGATGGTCCAGGAGGGATTTTCCAGCTTAGTTCCTTGTGGTGACTCAGGCATTCAAGCTCATTCTGTCTCGTGGCTCCTTCATCCGCTCTGATGGTTTGTCATCCTTTACTTCAGTCAGCACAGAGCAGGCACATCTGTTTTCTAAAAGCCTCAGGCTTAAGAATCAAATGTCACCCAGTTCTCAGACCATAGCAAGAAGATCTGGGAAAACAGATCTTGATTTTGTAGCTTCCCCCAGTGAACCTCAATCACTCTAGAAGAGGGAGAGGGGTTTGAATCAATAACAATCCACCCTTACCTTAACATCTCATTTATAGTCTAGGGAAGTATTTATTTATTAATATTTTTCTCTTAATATTATGCAGAATTTAGCCCTTTATTTGTGCTTTATTTTCAGTGTTTCTGTCCTCAGAATCCATAATCCTTGTTTCTTCCCCACCCCACTCCCCAATATAATTAAATAATGTTTTCCTTCCAGATTCAGCTAATTGGACTTTCTTATAAAATCTTTTTAGGTTACTTGAGAAATTTTGTTCTAAATCCATCTACTCTCCCTTTGAATTACTTGATAAAAATTATCACAAGAAATTGCTACATTTCTAACGTTGCCTTATGACTATAAATCATTTAATTCCTTTGTTAGTGTTCCTTTTTCATGTTTATTTTCATGATTTAATTAGGTACTAAATGCCTAAAACTTACAGTAGCTCATGCTTAGTTTTTTTCTTCTCTGGCACTTAGGTTTTAGCCTTTCTACAAAGTAGGTGGACAGGTTCATTTGATATACATATACAAACACATATCCATGGACACTTACACCAATAATGAATAGCTTTAACTGGTATATTTAATATATACTACTTTAGGGATATAGTTGAAATGTAATATTGGTCTCCTACTCTCCATTTAAATTGCATTCAGCAGGAAAATTGTTTCCCTGCTACTAAATAAAAACTATGGCAGGTCTCATGGTTTTTATTTATTTTTTTACTTTGGGACTCTATGGGAGAAGGCAAGGGTGGGATATTCTGAGAGAATAGCATTGAAACAAGTATACTATCAAGGGTGAAACAGATCACCAGCCCAGGTTGGATGCATGAGACAAGTGCTCGGGCCTGGTGCACTGGGAAGACCCAGAGGGATCGGATGGGGAGGGAGGCAGGAGAGGGAATCGTGATGGGGAACACATGTAAGTCCATGAATGATTCATGTCAATGTATGGCAAAAACCACTACAATATTGTAAAGTAATTAGCCTCCAACTAATTAAAAAAAATTCATTTTGGCCACTCTGTGCTGCATGTGAGATCTTACTTGTCTGACCAGGGATTGAACTCATGTCTCTGCAGTGGGAGCACTGAGTCTTAATCACTAGACCATGAGGGAACCCCCTCATGAATTTTATGATCAAACTTAAGAGAAAAACTTCATGTTCTTTTTATGCACAAAACACTCAGATTTTTTAAAAAAATTCAGTTTCTTATTCAGTATATTAATCTTCTTTTATCTTCACTCAAGGATGTTGCAGCTTTCTTGTCTCCCAGGATGTGATTATAAGAGGATGAGATGAAGGGGAGGGATGAAGGGCTAGTGTCTTTCTCTTCCTCTGGGTACCATGCCTCTGTGTACCATCATTGCCTCTCATTTTCCATCCAGGGAAAAGAAACCTGATTTTGAGAACACTCACACTTACATAAGACCATATAGATCACTCTCTATAGGCATTAATTATTTCCTATCTTGCTCTATTATACTTCATAGTAATTTTCCTTTTATACTCTCTTGTCACTTACTTATATTTCCATCTTCCTAATGTGCTCTCAGAACTCTCCTTTAAAAATTTTACTCCTTTTCTCAGAAAAGCATGGAGTTTCCTGAGCTTAAAAAAGTTTCTTTCCTCCTTCCCAGTAGACAGTCAAGAAGAATGATGTTTTCTCTCTTATTTTTGTACATCTGGTGCATCAGAGTTTCTTATGCCTTTATCATTGGATTTCTCTCACAGTGTCTAAGATCAAAGTGTTCCCTTTTATATACCTGGTGTTTTCTTTGCTCGCTACACTATGTACCTTGCATTCTTTGAAACTTTCTTTTAACCAACAGTCTATGTCGTTTTTGAATGAGGCCAGCAGGTTTCTACTCTGCTCCCCTGTCTAGGTCTCTTCTTTCATTGTAGGTGGCCAGCTCTTTCTACTTGGTCATCCTGCCTTTGGCTCCAAAGAAGCAGCACCCTTCGCTTTGTGAGGCTATTCCATTGTATCCCCAAAACCAGTCCTGGCATTATGGCCCCACAGGCAAATTCCTACTTTTGCCTTTCAACCTAGGATTCTCTATTTAAGTCTCTTCAAGTTCAGAAAATTCTTTTTTTTCCTCCATGTATGAAACCATCACTGTTTCTTTCTCTCATCCCAAGTTTTTAAACCTTTTGTTCAGCAGATGGATTGCTATTTCCCTTCTCTTGCTAAATAAACTTTATCATCACTTCTACCTGTTATTCATCAATTTTGTATTTCATGTGATGTTTATGGTTTGGGACTCTTCCTACAACTTCAGCCTGCTGTATATACCTTTGCGTGATTAAGAGTTTCAGAGCATCTTATTTCTTGTTATGCCTTATAAAACTTTCTTTTTATTTGGCACATCAGGCAGAAAGCACTATGTTCTCCCATTCAGACAGTCAGTAATCACTTTTCTGTTCTTTATTATCTTAGCAATATATCACTGTTTCTCTTTCCATAACACAGAGGTATTTTATTTTACTGAGGGTAAATCTATACAGCTATCATTTTCTAAAAGTCTTCAAGACTTTGTGCATAATTTTTAGATATTTTTTGTCTACATTTAAACAGATGGATTCCTGTTTTTTTATGTTATTCTTTTTTTTTTAATTTTTGCTTTTTTATTTTTTTTATTTTTTTAATTTTTTTTAGACTGACAGGCTTTTATTAGTTTACCACAAAATAGTTTTCAATTAACACCAGAACATAGAGGTAACATTGCTATCACACTGTTACAAAGTTAAAAGGCTTATGTGTTTGTTTCAATACCGGGGGAAAAATACTGGAGCTAGGTTCCCCACCAACGATGCTAACCAGCTACTGGTCCTTTTATTTTGCTCTTATTAATAGAAATATAACTTAGTGAGCTTAGTTATGTAGGCCTCTTCACAGAGGCCTCTTCATAGCTTCCTAGGAGTCAGAACTTTTGCTTTCGATACCGAATAATATCTGGAAAACATGCTCACTTTTGTGTTTTTTGAGAAATTCCAAGAACTGGCCCAGATTCATGTGATAGTCATTCCTCAAGCCGTAGTCACCGTGGGCCTCAAGGAGTAATTCTTCAAAAGAATGGAAAAGGCGCAGGTCTTGCCCGTCTCCTTCTGTTTCAATACTCTCCACATGCTTACAGGAAATGTGCTTCCAGTTGGGGTACCTGATTGTGTGCCAGAATCCCTCACAGTGCTCTTTGAAGCCCTCCACACAGATTATCCCTGGCTTTCCCGTCATGCAAAATCCTGTCACGTCCAACCTTTTCCCGACCTCCAGGATCTTTTTCCGGAGGTCCTGCTGATATATATGGTGGCTGTAGATCCACATTCGGAGGAAGGTGTTCTTGACTGGTTTTGCTTGTGTCGATGGTTCATCCACGAGCTTTCTGTTCAGGAAGTAGGAGGTGCTGTTGTCCTGCAACCACTGGATGGCCGCACACACACAGAGCTCCCCTGGATCAAAAGTCCCGATGTAAGAAGTGAGGCCTCTGTTGAGAAGCAGCTGCTGCTGTCTATCAAGTTCTGGTGACCGTGCAAACATCTGCAACGCTACATAGGGGTAGCTGTGAGGCATGGTTACTTGCAAGTCAATTTTCACCTTAAAATGAAAGGCAAATAGATATAAGTACCGTAAAATCACATAAGCTAGTTTATTAATGGCCACCGCATGATTCTGATCAAGGTATCAACAATAGTTACTGCTTCTGTTACATGTCAGCTGTGTGCCAGACACTGCACAACTTGACAAACACAATTTTACACACAGACATAAACTCCTTCCATTGATGCAATCATTCCTTCCAACATTCATCAAACACTGACCACGTGTCAGGTACCCTATGCTGAAAAAAATATTTCAAGATATTTCTTCTTCACAAGAAGCTAGACATTAGTTCTGTCCTTCATGAAGTCTAGAGCCTAGTGAAGGGGGCAGACATTAAACAAATCATTACATGCAGGAAGTATTTCATTGCAAAGCTGAGAAGCACTGCCATGGAAGAGTGGAGGAATCCACTGAAATGTGTAACCAGAGGGGCTGCATGAGGTCGGGGGAGCCAGGCAGTCTGCTCTGAAGGAATGATGACCCAAGGCTGGATAAGAAGTAAACAACAGTGGTTCTCAAACGCCTGCACCACTTGTTACATGGGCTATGCTAACACTGCTGGAGATAAACAGATCAGAAAATGAAGGTCAATTCATTTTCAGAATTTAGATTTTCTATCTGTATTTGCTTTCAGAGTCAAGGTGCCACCAAAGAAACAGTCATTCACTCCTTAAAAACAGTGCTGCCAAAAAGACAACATTTAGATCTGGGGAAATCATAACATATGTACAAGATAGTCCATACCACAGTAGTAGGACTGGTTAAACTGGATAAGTGACAGAATAATGGCACTATAAGACTGCAAGATGTGTTTAATAAAAACACTAGCCATACTGGTTTAAAAGGTGAGCATACGTATGTAAATTCAAGATCTTTATTNTGGGAAACCACTCCAGTATGCTCGCCTGGGAAATTCCGTGGACAGAGGAGCCTGGTGGGCTACAGTCCACGAGGTCACAAGAATCAGATAAGACTTAGCGACCAAACCTACCACCAGCAAATGCATTTTATTATTTTTGTCCCAGGACACATTAGCTTCTATAATTTTTCTTTTAATGTCTGCTCTATTATTTTTCTTCCTTTTTTTTTTTAAACTGCATCCCAAATTTTCCCAGGTTATTTTTATCCAATTAGTCTGGGCTGTATAGATGCAAAAACAAAAATGTCAGCTGACTATACATGGCATTTTACAAAATGTTGAAATTTGAAAGCTATGTAAGGAATAGTCTTTGCTCTCAGAGGGGGAAAAATCACAAGAAAGAAGGGAAGGCATATGCTTAAACCAGGAATTAAATACCAGTGTGGTTTGCACAGAGCCAAAGGTTTATAAGTGGACAGAGGAGAAAGTTGACATTGAAGATATGAGGAAATGCTTCCCAGAGACGGCCGGCCCTGAGTAGCACTGATAATGCAAATATCAGGTCCTCAGATGAACAAGGAAGCAGGGAACAACTGAAGGATGGACTGGCCTGGGCCCCGAGGTCTCTGCTGGCTCACAGGGAATTCAGCGTTCCTGGAGCTTTCATCAGGATGGGTAAATGGATGCCGGTAAGCTGTGAGAGATGGGAATGGAAAAGCACCGGGTGGAGGTCATGAAATTTCTTGCCTGTTGCTGTATGTAGGCGTATGAACTTCATTCTTTTTGTGAGAAGAAACTATTAAAGGCAGATAAACAGGGGAACGATTTTGTCAGATAGGATGAGAAGCGGTTGCTGTGAAGGATGCTGTGAAGGATACTGTGAAGGCAGTAGCGATGAAGAGTCAGCCAGGTGCATTATGAAGCTCTTGTCCAGAAGAGAGGCTTGGAGGGTCAGAGCAATGGTAGTGGCTGATGGAAAGGAAAAGGCTTGTTCTTGCCGGGATGTGGACCCAAACAGAAGAGAGTGTAGGATCACAGGCAGATTTCTGGCTCCCAGAAGGAGCTACCAATTGAGGCAGGTAACCCTGGAGAAAGACTCATCCGCTCCTGAATGTCAGCGTCTTTCTTCTTTGTACTGTAAATGAGGAGTTCTATTCTATCAGAAAGCATGACCTATTAAATTTCCTGCCTTCCCAGGTGGCACAGTGGTAAAGAGTCTGCCTGCCAGTGCAGGAGAAGCAAGAGATGTGGGTTCGATCCTTGGGTCGGGAAGATCTCCTGCAGTAGGAAACAGCAATCCACTCCAGTATTCTTGCCTGGAAAATTCCATAGATAGAGCAGCCTGGCGGGCTACAGTCCATGGGGTTGCAGAGTTGGACCCGACTGAGCACAGCGCACACCCACACCTCAGTCCATTCATTTTCTGTTTTGTAGCTCAACAAGGTATTTTTCTATACAGGAAACGTAGGCTCACACTCTATAGAGGCAGCCAGGGATAATTACAGGGCAACAGTAAGTGATGCATCCTGGAATTACAGTAGCTATATTTCACAGCCATAGCTCATGAAATGAATTACACATATCCAAGGATTCACCCACAGAATCAAATTTTTGGTGACATATGGGGAGAGCATGATTTGTTATATTTGTACCCTCAAAGATGAATCAGTGCTATTTCATACTAAGCAAGTTGATTAACACTCTAGGTGATTGTGTCTGTGTTTCAGGCATGCCTAAGCGTGCTGTCAGGGTAAGTACTATGCCATCACAGCAATATCTCATAAATTCCCTGGTGAAACTCGTATATGAATGCAGTGACAGTCTTATTTTTTTTCCATTAAAAACCTTAAATATAGTCTTAAAAATAAGTAGGATTGGTGTTACAGTGTCCTAAAAGTGCCCAACAGCTTTCATGTTTAGTTGAGCTGTACCATCTCTTCACTCACAGGGCTCATATTTTTATTTTTTTCATCACTAAATCTGATGGGTATTGTTTTCTTCCCCTACCTAGACCCTGGAAGTACTTTAGTTATCTGTCAAAGTTCTGTAGAAGTTTTAAACTGACTTCTAGTACATTCCAGAATTTTCCTTTATCTTTGATAGACTTTTTTTTTTCTTAAATCATGTTTCCCATGGTTATCTTATCATTCCTTCTGTGGGCTTGAAACACTCAGCTGGAATGGGGCCCCTGTTACACACCAGTCACCAATGCACAACCTATGACAGCTTCCCTTTGCTTTATAATTAGCATTTCCATTCTTGACATATTCCTCAAGGCTTCCTTTGTATCCAGGCTTCCCTAACAGGGTTTGCGTCTGTCAGTGAGCACAAATTCCCTCATGTTCCTCTAGTGAGACTCAGGAATATTAACTTTTCTTTCAGTGTTCCCATGAAGATCATCCTTGCTCAAAACACTTATCAGCTGCGCCCCTTCCTCCCCTTCATTCTTCACTCCTGCCCCCTCCCACCTCTGTGGACTCCAGATTCACTTCCTCTCCCCAACCCCCACCCCGTATGTTTCATCTGTTTCCAGTGTCATGCAGATACTGTGTATTTCCTTCCCAGGAAATGTGGGATCTTTATAAGCCATCCCCCTTGAGTCATCTTTCTGCTTCTGCGCCCAAGCCTGTTGTATTTCCCCCATGTGTCACAGGTGCATATGTCTCCTCTCTTTCCCAGCGCAGACTTGACAGACCTCCACCATCTGTTCTCTTAGCAGTGCAGTTTTCTGCACCCTGGTACACCTTTCACCTCACACACTACCCGGCTGGGTTATCTTTTTTCATTGCAAGCATCCACCAGTATTTCTTGCATTGAGATTAGAGCAAGTTGCTTCTCTTGCTTTAGAAGAGCAAGAGATGTTTCTGTTTGTTCCAGGTTGGCATCATATGACTTTATTCCAACGTGTATCTCTTACGGTCTTTCTTGTAACCTCCACTATACCAATAAGAAGACTGTATGTGGTATTGTGCCTTTCTTAAACTCTGGTCATTATTTGCCTTTTCACTGATACTCATTATTGCATAAAGTAAACACTTGTTCAGAGTTTGCTAAGAGCAAGGCCTAGTGCCAGGTCCTGTGCTCATCAAAATGAAGAAGACATGGCTAATGTGCTCTTGTGTACAGTATAATCTTAACCCTAAGCTTTTGGAGACTTGGGTGAAGGATAGTTCTGTGACTATCAAAACATAGGAAACAGAACTCTGTATGTCTCTGATTCACATAACTTATATGACTATTCCTCATAAACTAGTTACTCTGTTTTTTTCTTGAAGTGCCTCGATTTGGTGGAGTTGGGTTAGTTCCGTCCCTTGTTCCACAATGATCTGGCCCTTCAAGTTCCTTAATTCAGTCTGCTCATCCATTAGTCTAACTGAGCAATACTTTAGTAATGTAGACTCTCCTCCATCTTCAGCATATTTAATTGGTTTTCTCAGAGTCTTGCTTAGAATTTTTCCTTAGATAGCCAAACTTCATACATTTCATTCTCTGTGGGGTGCCTTATGCATCTTTGCTTCCATAACATTTAAAAATATAAACTATGCTCATTAATTTTTCTGTCTTCTATTGATGTGCATGACAGTTCTGCCTGGGAACACTGCAGCTCCTCTCACTTGTGCAGAAAACATCTCTAAACAGTTGTCATCATTTCCTTTAGTACCGTAAGGGGAATTGTTTCTCTTCTTCAGTATTAAGTCTTTATGGAAACTTGCCTCGATATCAGGTTTTATCCATTTGTTTGGTTTTCAGCTAACTAAAAAAACTGTACAACTAAATTAACCTTTTCTATTCAGTACTTAATTCTCCTTTGTGGTTTTTTTTTTTTTTTTTAGGGCATGAAACCTCCATACTATTTGCAGAATAAACCTGTACACTGTTCATATTTTTAAGAAATATCCATTCCCCAAGTATTTATAGAGCACATATTTGTGTCAGGGCTTCCCTGGTGGCTCAGGCAGTCAAGAATCTGTCTGCAATGCGGGAGACCTGGGTTCAATCCCTGGATTGGGAAGATCCCCTGGAAGAGGGCATGGCAACCCACTTCAGTGTTCTTGTCTGGAAAATCAATGACAAAGGAGCCTGGCAGGCTACAGTTCTTGGGGTCACAAAGAGTCAGACATAACTGAGTGACTAAGAACCTATTTGTGTCAGGCAGTCTTCTAGGCTGGATAACACAGAAGTGCACAAAAATTCCTGCCTTCATAGTTCATATATCTTAGGGGAGACAGAAAATGACTGGATGACTAAGCAAAATCCAGTTTACAGTACTGAGTGCTATAAGTGCTTATAAGGAAAAAAAAGAAACATAATGAATCATGATAAGAAATGTGTATGTTTTAAGATTTTGCAGTTTTGGTAGGTGCATAGGGAAGGTTTCAGCTGAGAGGTGGGGGCTGGGAGGTGAATTATGTTGGCATCCAGATGAAGACTATTTCAGGTGACAGGGACAGGAACTCAAATGCCCCAACCTGGCATATGGTCTGCCATGCATGGGAAACCTGGGGAATGCCATGGAAGGGCAGGGGAAGTTAGGGGGTGAGGTTAGAGAGGTAGTCAGATGCAGGTGGGGTAGGGCCTTGTAATGTGTCTGAAATTTCATAACGTCTGTATTGGGAAGCCTTTCGCTAAGTGTGCATTTAGTTCTCACGCCCCAGGAACATTTCTGATGTGTTCTTTTTCTCACGGCTGCTGTTGTTAGTTGCTCAGTCCTGTCCGAATCTTTGCAGCCCTGTGGACTGCAGTCTGCTGATGACTTCCTCCTAATGGGCTCTGTCCCCTTCCATCCTGCCTTTCTCCTTCCCTCCTATTCTTCTTTCTTTTGGCCACGTGATACCCCTGTTTGTTCTTTCACAATCTATCTCAACAGAGTCTCTTATCCTCACTTATTAATATCCTCACTTTCTTCTCCTGCCCACGAAGACCCCAGTATATTGTTTTTTCTTAAAACATCATATTTCTTCCTT